GGTTGACGAGACGGCAGGTGCGCGGCGAACCGCACAGAGGGCGCGACCCAAACAAAAGGGCAGGTTCTTGGCAGCACAGCGACGACTAAGGAAAGTGAAACGATTTCGCAGAGTTTCCCGAGGGAGTGACAAGGCAGCTCCGTTTTCCAGAGTTTGCCAGGGCGGAGTTTCCTTTGCCAGCAGTTTTGAAGATTGAAATCCACGGATTAAGCTTGCGCGAGTGGAAGGCCCACCAGAGGCTGCACAGCTGCGCCACCTCCCCTGCCCACGGTGGAGTTTCTTTGACAGCGAAATTCGCATTAGGAGGGGATAGCAGTTCAATGGTGCAGAATGCTTTGGGTCGCCACAAACCAGCCAGACAGATTTCCAGTAAGTCGTTCCGTGCCCGTGCTCTCGAGGTTGGCCTTGGAGTTCCTCCCGAGGCCCCCTCTCCCGTGTTGCATTAGTCCTCTCGAGGGTGGGATGGCAATTAGATGGGCCCCTGGCGTGATCAGACCACAACGGTTTCAAGGTCCACGTGGGCCAGACCCCTCCAGCGCTCTTGTTAGACCAGCTTGGGAAAAAAACATCAAGCGCGTGCATGGGCGTGAGATTGCGTCGAAGTCAGGACACCCACCTGGGCACAGGGCCACCGTGGACCTCATCAGGTCCCGAGTGGGGCCAAAGGTTCGGGGGCTCAGTAGGAAAGCTAAACTTTTGATTAGGAGCCGCGGGTGCAATGGAGCGTGGACCAGTGTGGACCGAAGAGAGAGGTCGTCTGGCACGAGGCGGACGGGCGGTGTTCTTGCGGACAGGTCGACGCATTTCACCACAGGCTCTACACGTTTACTAGGCCAGATGTGTTAGATGCCAGAGAGGAGGCGGACGTGCCGCCAGAATACATTGTTGCGGCCCTCGCAGAGCCCACGCTCGACATTTTCACCCGAGGGATTTTTGCGCGCCCCGAGGTCGGGTTGCCAAAACCGTTTTTGTCGACGGAGGTCTCGACTTTTGATGCTTCAGGCAGCCAAATCGACCTGGTGCCCGAAATTATAGCCGGTCTCTCGCAGGATGGGGGTTTAATGGCTAGTGTCTGATGGGTCTTGCCCCAGGACTCCGACGCGCGCGCTCCAGCGAGCATCATGGGCGATAGGGGTGCTAACAGCGGGCGGTCAGTCACAAGACCCTGTAGCTGTAATGAAAGGAGCGGTTCACGGCACGTTTCCACATACGCCAGCGATGCCGGAACATGTCGGCGTAGCGCTGCGCGGGCAAGTGGCCGGCAGACCTGCGGCGCTGGCAGCGGATTGCATGGCGGCATATAAGCCATGCAGAAAAATGTCGAGCAGCAGATTCGGGCAAGCAGTGAATTCGTTGGAATTCGTGCATTCGCCCAGTCGTTGGAGGGAACATCTGTCATTCAGCAGGTGCGCCATGTGAAGGCGCATCTGTCTCAAGAGCAGATAGACAGTCTGGACAGATCAGAGCGCGAGTTCGCGATGGCGAACGCTTTAGTTGACCGCCGCGCAAAGCAGGTTGCTGAAGCGCATGAGAACGCGAGCCCTACTTTCTTGCAAGAGCTTGACTTAGCCGAGAGTAGGATGGGGAATTTCTGCAAGCTGGCGGCTCACACCCTCCCGTTGTTTGAGGTTCCCCTGAAGTGGCTCAGGAGGAGAGGCCGCCGCAGGACCCACCGTGCAATTCAGGACTGGCACGAGTGGGAGACGATCCCCGAGATAGGCACGCGATGTCGTCGTAGCTTGCAGTTGGGAGGGGGTGATCAGTCAGTCTGGACGCTTAACGGCTGCAAAGGACTGCCAGCCAGCATCAAGAGACTTCTCCCGAACCCAATGGGGCACCTCGTCGTCATGGCTGGGATGCAGCTCGTGGACCCTCGGCCTGAGATTGTGGAGGGTAAGGTTCATGAGAAGCGGTGCTGGATAGGTTTGAAGTGTGGGGCACGGTCGCAGGGCCGTGGAATTACACTGGCACAGCCTTGCATAAGGCCTCGAGAGCGCCCCACGAAGAAAGGTCAGGAAGTTTTGGACCGATACCTTCAGGGTAAGCCGCCGAACCGTAGGGTGTGGGCGTGTTTGAGCAGGGTGTTGGTTGTTCCTAGGACCCGCCTTGCGGTTGAGTTGCAGGCCCCCTCGGAATCGGTCCCTGACTGTGCCGCGGTACCTCGCTCGTTTTCGGCTTCCGGGGATGTTCCAATGTATGAGCAGAGAATGGCGGCCCTTCTCCAGAAAGTTAGGGAGAAGGAGGCCAGGAGATTTGGCTCGTCGTCCTGATTTGTTCAGGTTTTGGTGCTGCGCACTTCCCGTTCTGGGCATTCCGAGCCGATCCGATCCGATCTTGTGCCCACACCTCCTATCCGGCTGCCTGTCCCCAAGCTCGCCATTGTGCCACTCCGGCAGGTTTTGCGGCTCTCGTTCGGCGAAGCACCAGAGGCCGTATTGGCGAGGGGTGAGCAACATGAAAACGATGATGATGATGATGATGATGATGGTGAGGAGGATGATGACGATGATGTTGGATATGATGATGATGGTGATGATGATGATGATGACGACGATGACCACGACAGTAATGATGCTCATGACGAGGATGATGATGGCGACGATTGTGCTGATGGTGATGGTGTTCACGATAATGTTGCTGCTGATGATGATGATGATGATGATCAAGATGCCGCTGGCGATGACGATGACGATAACGAGAATTATGATGCAGATGGTGGTGATGATGTTGATGATGATCGCGATGATGACGATGACAACGGGAACGACAACGACGACGACGATGGTGGTTGCGGTGCTGGTGACAATGATGATGATGACGATGATGGTGATGATGACGATGATGATGATGATGATGATGATGATGTTTGTTGGGTAATCATGAGAGGCGGTTTCGGTCCCTGTTGGAGGCAGTGTTGATGCCTTCTGGGGGCCGAGTGGAAGCCTATTGGAGGCCTCTGCGGACCCTTTTGGGTTTCTTCGGACCTCTTCGGGCCTCCTCGGAGCCTCTACAGCCGGAAGGCTCCAATTGTCAGGTGATGTTTTCCTTTTTGGGCAGTTTGGGCTGTCTCAGGGACCTCTGAGACCGTTTTGGGGCCCTCCTTGGCCGTCTTAGGACCCTCGTGGGGGCCTCTTGAGCCATTTGGGATCGGTTTCGTAGGCCTGTGGGGCCGATTTGGACGCCAGAACGTCGAGAAAACGATAACGCAACAATCATCGAAAACGGATTGGAAATCAATATTTGTGCTTCTTGGGCCCTTAATGGGGGTCCTCTTCGAGCGCTGTTTGGGTTTCTTTGAAACCTCTTGGGCCGTCTTCGAGGCATTATGAGCCATCCTGGCGGCTGAGGAGGCCCCCCCAGGTCCGTCTGGGAAGCCACGTTGGGCACTTCAGGTGCTTCCAAGAGCGCCGAGACGTGTCTGAGCGCCGACAGAGCCTCGAGAACAGGAGGCGCATCGCGCAGGGAGGCGCACACAGGAGAGCGGAGGGCCCCCTTAGCAGATTACAGGAGCGAGACCCAACAGCATTTGGCATTCTGACGCGGCTGAACGTGCCAGCGATTGCGCCGCGCTGCTCGGGACGGCTTCGAATCCAGAGTTGTATGGTACAGTCTAACCTTGTGCTTGGGCGTCGCAGTACCCGCCCGAACATCAACAATGCGTCAACGGGGGGCAGCTGCAAGACCCCACGGGACAACTCGCTTAGGTACTGAAGCCGTGTCCAGAATCGACAAGACACCAAGCGCGCGCGAAGCTCACGCGTGGTTCTAGGACACAGGGGGAACACGAACCGACATTTCGAGCCCTCGCCCAACAGAGGACACCAAGAAGCCCCCCGGAGTCCCCAAGAGGCCCTCCAGAGGCCCCCAGGAAGCCCCAAGAGGCTTCCAAAAGGCCCACAGGAGACTCCCAAGGGACCCCAAGCGGCAACCACGAAGTACACAAGAGCCCCCCTAGAGCTCCCCAAAAGGCCTCCGAAAAACTTTCACCACCCATATCCGAACAGGCATCCAGCAGGCCACCAGCCCATTACCCAGGCATGGCGGCCTCAGGCCCACAACCCCAGTTACCAAGACGCTCGGTCTTGGGGAGGGATGCTGAGGGCGAGGACGACGACGACGACGATGCTGGCGATGACGATGATGATGGTGATGATGGCGACGACGACAATGACGATGATGATGACGACGATGACGATGATGATGGTGATGCGGGTGACGACAATGACGATGATGACGATTGCGATGATGACGACGGTGATGACGATGGTGTTGCTGATGGTGGTGGTGATGATGATCGTGTTGATGGTGATGGTGATGATGACGATGTCGATGACGATGACGATGACGATGAAGATGATGGCGATGAGGATGGCGATGGTGCCGATTACGATAATCCTAGCCAGAATCCGAGCGCGCGCGATGGTTCTAGTATCTATGTGTATATATATATGTATATATATATATATATATATATATATATATATATATATACATCCGCGCGGCCTCCCCGCCTGCGCATTCTGCGGCCGCGACGTTGTGTGGATAAGCACAGGGCGGTTTTGTGCGCGGATGCTTCGCGCGGAACGCATCCATGAGATTGTGCATACATCGGATTGCGTCTGGTTGTCCAGACCGCGAATGCATGGATTTTACGCATGGGTGCGCTTCGAAGAAAAACGACGTGAACATAAACTTGAAGCGCTCCGCGCGGATTTCTCGGATCCGCGCTGGGCCCCCTACGGCGGCGCCTCCAGCGCCGCCTCTGACACGGTCCGCGCGCCCGCGCTCGCTTCGCCCGTGACGGCAATGCTCCCTTCGAGCAGGGGTTCGGCTACAGAGTTGGTGTATCCCTCAGACTTGGCTGTCTCATCGGATCCCCCATCCAAGAGACGTAGGCAGTTCGCGTATCTAGCAGATTCGGCGAACACATCAATTCTGGGGTAAATCAATTCTGCAGTCGATCCCCCACTCGATCCCTGCAGTGGCCCGGCGGTGGCAAGGTGCACCACGAGACGGAGCCCAAGGCTGAAGGCCGCAGTCGGGCGGGCGGCCACGGGGGGCAACACGCGCAGGCGGGTCAAGGACCACTGAGCTCGATTTGGAAGTAGAGGGTAGAAGGGAGGGGGGGGAGGAGGTCGGCCGCCTCCCTCGTCCCCTCTACTTGGCATCGCCCGCACGTGTGTATTTTTTCGGCGAGGACCATCGAGGATCCTCGTGGGTCATTGAGCAAAACAACCACGCACAACACCGAACGGCGCACACTGAATGGACGTCCGAGCGACGGCAAGAATGAGCACCAAGCCCTCCCAGAACCCTTCCTTCTTCTGCACCTCCAGGGCTGGACCTAAACGCTGTTTTGCTGGACTTTGGCTGTGTGTGTGTGTGTTGTTTTTCGCTTTGGGCACAGGGAAACGGGTCGAGCAAGACGCAAAACCAAACGAAAGCAATACGAAAGACAGGGTGTGGGCCCAGCGTGGAAATGACCCTGAAGGGCCCCTGATCTGCCGCCGCGGGCCCAGAGTCGGGGAAGGAGGAGGAGGAGGAGGAGGAGGAGGAGGAGGAGGAGGAGGAGAGGAGGGAGGAGGGAGGAGGAGGAAACGTAAGACTCGCGTGCGCTCACATAAGTCGGGCGTGTCCCTCTACAGGAGGAGGATTTCAAAAATAGTAAAACAATAGTCTGTGGACGGCTTTTTTCAAAGCATTTTTTGAATACACCTTGAGTATTTTGATTTTTTCGTCCAAGAGCCGCCTGTAGGGGGACATGCCCGACCGAAACCTCGGGTCGGCCGACGCTTTTTGACCAGCCCGCCCTGTATTTTGACAGTCCAGTGCTCGTGAGATGTCTGCGGCGGGAGCTCGCGTCAAATTTCAGATTGGGTCTCCTCATGTTCTTTGATGGCCCCGCCAGAGTACCCCGAACCCGAGCCTCGCGTCTCCCAGACGGAAAGTGCATGAACGGTGCTCGTTTCCAAACCCCACGTTAACTGCCCCCTTGTTGACGAACATCCGATGTATCAGAGGCCAGGCGAAGGCTGGCAAACCCGTGGATGCTAAACGAGCTCAGGGACATTGTTTCTTTTTCCGGGCAGCAGCTCGTTCGAGCTGTATGCCGGGAATGTGTGTTCTTTTCTTCCGAGAAGACCGCTTTAGCAGCCACGGATTTGTCAGCCCTCGCCCAGCTTCCAAATGTAGGCTCCGACGCGTGTTCCTTGTTCGATGGTCCTCAGGACGTGTGTTAGCCCAGAGTGTTTACCCCCTTCAGCCCAATCAGTAGATCATTGCATCGCCTGGGTCGTGTCGAAGGGCCTCGATGGACGAACACGCGTTGGGGCTAACACACGTTCTGAGGATCATCGACTCTTCTGTGAGAGCGCCGCCGGCGCCCGCGGCGCCCCGGCGCCCGCGGGTGGCGAGAGCGCGCTCACAGAGCGCCCTCCGCGTGCGCCGGCCTCGAGCGTGCTCCCAGACCTCCCCGGCGACCCGGTGCGGCACTCGCGCCAGAGGCTCTCCCCGCGTCCTTCTCGGGCTCGGGGCGCCGCTCCGGGGATCGACGTACAGTGGTTCGAGGGTTCGAGGGTTCGGGTTCGAGATTCGAGGTGCTCCGATGCTTTCGTCGGTTCTCGGCGGCTTTCCATCAAGGGAGGTCAAACCACCCCGACTGGACAATTGTCGTTTACTAAACGGCCCTGGGCGTTTACTAAACCGCCCTGCCCTGTTTGATTCCTTCTTCGGGTGCGATTACTAAACGGCTTCGCGTGTCGGGGTGGTTATTATCGGGGTGAATTTTCTGCCCTCTATTCCAGCTTCGGGATGCTTGTCAGAAGTTGCGCCTCGCCGAGGGCGTTCTGGGGGTGCCCGAATCGTCCCGAACGGCCGCCAGAGACCCGAGTTGTGACCCAAAAACCAAAAAACAGTGGAGGCCCATGCCAAGAAACACCCTGCTCGCCTCCAGGGTGCCCTCGGTTTTTCTTGTGTTTCAATGGTTTTGCGATGGACAGCGCGACGGCCTCACGCCAAAAATCAAGGGACGTCCTGGGGTCTCATCGTTGGGTTTCTTGTGGAGGGTTTCTTGTGGTCGGGCCACTATTGTAGTGCGCACCGAGAAACAAACCTCGGGCCTAGCAATCCAGACATGCTCGTGTTTCGAAAAAGGGGGGCCGAGGTCTTGGGTAGTTTCCGGTGCCTCTGGGGGCCCTCGCGGGGCCCTGGGACCGTCAACGAACACTGAACACTGCACAAGGTGAGCCTGGCGAAGGACCCAAACTTATGCAGTTGTGAATGCCGCAGTCGTGAGTATCGTCTTAGGTGGAGCTGCTTGTGGGGGCGCGGAAGGTGCGAGGGGTGTGCCAAAGTGGGATGGCGGCGGCACGCGGGCGCTGCCACTGGGGCCTTCGGTGGAGCTCCCTATGGGGCCACGAAGCGTGTGAGGGGTGCGCCGAAATTGAACATTGAAACGCATGCGGGCGCTGCCCCTGGGGCCTTCTGTGGAGCTCCCTAGTGGGCCACGAAACGTGTGAGGGGTGCACCAACATAGGGGGTGGTACTGCATTCGGGTGCTGCCACTGGGGCCTTTGGTGGAGCTCCCTATGGGACCACGATACTTGAGGGTGGTGTGCCGAAATGGAGGGTGGAACTGCATGCGGGCGCTACCACTGGGGCCTTGGGTGGAGCTTCATATGGGGCCACGAACCGTGAGAGGGGTGTGCAGAATGGCGGGTGGAACCGCATGCGGGCATCACCATGTGGCCTTCGGTGGAGCTCCCGATGGGACCAGGAGGCGTGTGAGGGGTGTGTCGGAATTGAGCATTGAACCGCATGCGGGCGTTGCCATTGGGGCCTTCGGTGGAGTTCCCTGTGGGGCCACGAAACGTGTGAGAGGTGTGCCGAAATGGAGGGTGGAACTGCATGCGGGTGCCGCCACTGGGGCCCTCGGTGCAGCTCCTTAGGGGGCCACGAACCGTGAGAGGGGTGTGCAGAAATGGGTGTGGAACTGCATGCGGGCGCTGCCACTGGGGCTTTCTGTGGAGCTCCCTATGGGCCCACGAAGCGTGTGAGGGGTGTGCCGACATGGAGGGTGGAACTGCATGCGGGCGCTGTCACTGCGGCCATCGGTGCAGCTCCCTATGGGCCACGAACCGTGAGAGGGGTGTGCAGAAATGGGGGTGGAACTGCATGCGGGTGCTGCCATTGTGGCCTTCGGTGGGGCTCCCTCTGGGGCCACGAGACGCTGTACCTCGTACGGAGACCAGAAGCAAGGATGGGAGGAGGGCGGGGGCAGCTAGAGGAGGAGGAGGAAGAGGAGGAGGAGGAGGAGGAGGAGGAACGCGGGGCGCTGTCTCCTCAAAACGAGGACCCAACAGCACGGGATGGTTGGGAGCAAATCGGGACTGGCTCTGGGGAAGGGGTCGGGAGGTCGGGGATTTGGCGGCTTGAACGGATCGGGTCGTCGGAGGTCTGGGTCTGGAACCAGTGTTGCGGCTCTGTTATACAGAAGACCGCCTCGCCTTCCCTGACGAACGAACAACACACCCATGCCCATGGGGGGTGGCGGACGGGGTTATGGGTGCGCGTTGTCGGAGAGGGGTCCCCGTTCCGACGGGAGCTTCCTCAGGGGTCCGACAACCCGCACCCATACCCATAGCCAGTCCTCCTCGCTCCGACCTCCGTGTGGGTGTGCGTGTGTGCCGTTCGTTCGTTATTTTCACAGTCGGCAGTGCCTCGTCCCCACGGTTGCGATTGCGACTGCGGTGGCGCGCGCCCGCGGATGGCTGAAAATGTGTCGCTCCTGGTTGAGGATCTTGTGGCAGTTGCGGTAGCGGTTGCGCGCGCCCGCGGGCGGCTCAACATGTGTCGCCTTGGTCCCATTGCGGTCGCGCGCGTCCACGAAGCCGACACTGTGTCGCCCAGTTGCGGTTGTGGCTGCGGTTGCGCGCGCCCGCGGACGGCTGTCAGCTGGTCAGTCAGACACCGCTGGGCGCAGAATTTCTCCCGGCTCCGCCAGCGACGACGATGTTCGGGAGCCCTGAGACGGGGATCAATGCAAACGGAGTTCAGCCAGAGCGCCAGATCGTGCGTGATCCTGCAAAGCCAGGGTTGCACTGACCAGGGCTAGAGCGCAGGAGCCTGCAGTATCTTGCAGGATCCTGAGCCCGACTGACCCAGGTTTGCATTGAAGTCTGGGGTCGTCGTTTGCACGCGATAGTGACCCTCTGCAGGAGTGATTTTTGGCGCGGGCCCAGTGGGGCTCCCGCGGTGCGACAGTGGCGTCCTGCGCGCGCTTGTGTTTGGTCCCCCTGCGGCCCCCCAAAAGTCGCGCACCGAAGGTCACTCTCACCCTGGGTCACTCCTGCGTGTAGCCGAGGTCGGAGGGTCGTGCAGCACCGCCGATGCACCAGCGACGCGGCGCGATCCGGAGCGGCGATGTTCCCCGTCGCGGGCGTCGCTGGCGCGCGGCCGGTCGACAGCCGATGCGGTGCGGTGCACCAGCCCCAGCTGAAATCCCGACGGCCGCCTGCTGCCCCGCCAATGTGTCGGCGGCGCGCGCAGTCAGAGCCCCGCATCATCAGGGCCTCGGAGGGTGCAGATTCGCGCCTCGGGGGCAGTCAGAGGTAAGTCAGAGGTAAGTGCAGATTCGTGCCTCGGGGCAGTGAGAGGTAAGGGCAGATTCGCGCCTCGGGGGACCCAAACCGGAGTTACGCCGGGCCGCAGGTATCCCGGATAACTCGGGCGTCCAACCCTTTCGAATCATCAGGGCTGGGGGCGGTCAGGGATAGCTGCAGATTCGCGCCTCGGTGTCCCAAACTAGAGGTACCCCGGGCCGCAGTTCCCCTGGATAACTCGGGCGTCCAACCCTTCCGAATCATCAGGGGTTGCACGCAGGGGCAGTCAGTGAGTCAGGGATAGATTGCTGCAGTTTCGCGCCTCGGTGGCCCAAACCAGAGGTACCCCAGGCCGCAGTTCCCCCGGATAACTCCGGCGTCCAACACTTCCGAATCATCAGGATTGGGGGCAGTCAGGGATAGTTGCACGCCTCTGGCCCGTTGGGCCGGCGAATTTATCTCCTCCTGGTCTGCTTCCCATGCCGCTGCCCCCCATCCATCTTGCAAAATGCTCACGCCGCTGCGGCGCCCCCGCTCCGTCTCTGGGTGGACCGCGCACCAGCGCGTATGTGAGCGCCGCTCGTCCGTCCCCCCGGTGGCACAGCGCGCTTGGACATTCCGCGTTGGGCTCCCGGCGAGGATGTCTTGCGGCCGCGCCCGCATTGCAGCGTGCGGGCGCGCGTCTTGCGCATGTGTCCCTCTCCGCGCTTGCGTCTGCACGCAGTGTCCGTAGCGCCCGGCTCTGGTGGGGAGCGCCCTCCCAGGAGCCGCCCGTTGCCCTCGGGGGCCTCTCGGGGCGTCCGATGTCGTGGCCCCCCGCGCCTCTGGCTGGCCCGGCGAGCGTGGCCCCACAGGCCGTCTTCCAGAACCACGACTGCGTCGGGCTCGCGTCGCCCATCCTCGACTGGGACCGGCTGCGCGAGGGACTCCGCACGGACTGCGGCCACACGCGCCAGACGCGGACGCTGAGATGCGCCGCGCGGATCAGCGGCTGGGAGGCGCACGTCGTGCCCTTCCTGCGGTTGCACCAGCCCGATGGTGGCGGTCTCGGCGCCGAGAGGGCGGAGTCCACGGCGCCCTCGTTCGAGGCCTTCGACCGCGTGGAGCCGGCGGCGAGGGCCGAGTGCCCCCTCGGAGTGACCACCCTCAACATTGCCAGGACCCTGCTGTGCGCCCGCTCGAGAGACCTGGACTGTTACCTGCTTCACACGCGGAAGGTGTCCGCGGATCTCTACAACACACCGCTCACGGTGATGATGGGCACGGATTGGCCCATGTTCGCGTTGCTCAACTCGTACAGTTGGGTGTGGCCAGGGGCTCCGCCTGGCCAAGACTACGACTGCATCCGCAGCAATCGTTCCACGATCAATTGGCCAGCGTTGCTGAATATTTTCGCGGAGGACCCTATGAGGCCTGATGCAACTTGGTGGGGCGATAGCATCAGGTATGCAGTGGCCTTCGGCCCATCCCACCACTATGGCACTATGGTTGGGGCGTGTACACGAGATCTTGAGGTTCCTTGGGGTCTCTTGGGAATCCTCTCGAAAGGTTCGAGGCATGTTGGGAGCGTGGTGGGGCATCTTGGGGGCGTCCTGGGGGCCTCTTCGGCTGGCGGTCACAGGAGCTATCTTTGGGGGGAAAGGCTCGAAATGTAAGTTCGGGGTCCCTCGTTGGGCCCCTCTTGGGCCCTCTGTTTTAGGCGCCTCCTGGGCCGCCTTGGGGCGATCCTCGTCATTCTGAAACACTCTTAGGAGCTGCTTGGGCTGCCTTGGAGCGACCTCGGGGGCCTCTTTGGCTGCTTTGGAGTGTTGGAAACCAGAATCTGTGATTTCGGCCTGTTGGCGCCCTTTAGAGGGTCATCTTGTGGCCGTCCTGGGGCATCTTTGGGCCTCTTGGGCCGTTTGAAGGGTATCTTGGGCGTCTTAGGGGCGCAGTTGGGCCGACTCGTGGACTTCTTGGACTCTTGGGGCCCTTGGCCCGTGCTGGCGCTCTGCCATCTGGTAAAGTCTCCTGGGAAGCCCCGCGAGTCACCAGAATAGCCCCAGGAGATGCGTGAATTGGAGTCAGGCCCCCTTGAAGAGCTTCCATTGTACTCAATAGAAAGAGCTTGAAGGGACACGTGGACCTTCCATTCAGTGCCTACGGCACTGTGTCGGACGTATTTGATACCAATTTGGCTTTCCACCTCAACGTTGGCAGCCGCGAGTGCCTTTACGGGGTCTACATCATGAACATCGTGAAGACAATGTGGGCAGCCGACACGGAGTCCTCGTCCTACCAGACGTACTCTCCCTATATGGGCTACGTCCTCTACGAGAGCCTGCACCTGCTCGGGGCGGCCCGCTGGCCCCTCTTTGCGCTGATCCACCACTTCACTTCGATCCGGCGGCACGGGTTCCGCATCGACTTCTCGGGTGTTGCTGAAGGTGCCCCTGGCCCAAGGTACTCCCTGGCTCCAGTTTGGAGCCTCTAGGGACCCCTGAGCCTCGTAAGGGGTACTCTGAACGCCATGGGGGCCGCCTTGGAAATCCTGGGGGCACCATGGGTCAGGGGTACTTCTAGCAACACCCGAACTTCTCTGCCCAGGAGTTGGGGGGCCTTCCGTTCCGGGACCATCCGAAGAAGCAACAGCGTCATAGGCAGGAATTTTTGGAGCTCCGCGCGGCTTTCTTGGCTTGGCGCTTGGCCCCCCGTAGCGGCGCCCCCGGCGCGGGGTCCAGCGCAGATCCGAGAGCTCCGCGCGGACCTCCAGAAGTTTATGTCGGTGCCGTTTTTAGTTCCTCGACCTATGGGGAGTGGCTCCAGTCGAAGCCCCTCGAGGAGCACCTGGAGCTGGTCGGCTTCGCGGGGGCGAACCGCGGCGGGCCCGGGCGCCTGGCCGGCGCGGCGCGCGCGTTTCGGGCAGCGTTGGGCAGGGCCAGGCACGGTCTGCGGCTCGTCTACGTCACGATGGTGTACGGCCACATGAGCGACGCACAAAAAACAGGGTCGTCTGCGCCGACGTCGGCGCGTAAGTTGCCCGCGTATGGTCGCTCGTAAGCGCCCTCGTCTTCAATGTACCGTACCGCGCCGGCGGTCCAAGCCGCCGCGTAAGGTCGCTATGCCATCTCGCGTAAGACCCGTTTTTGATCGTCGCCCACATGAACTCTTTGATCTCTGGCTGGGCAGAGCGACTGCGCACCATTGGCGTCGGAAATCTCGTCATGGCTACACTAGATGGGGAGGCATTTTCTCGGTGTGCCGAGTTCTTCTATCGAGATCAGTGCGTCAATGGATCAGTCTCCGTGCTGAACAAGTACACGTTCTTGCTTGTTGCGTTGCAGTTGGGCATCGATGTGATGTGGTTGGATTTCGATATATTTATCGTTCGTGACCCTGGACCCGCGCTTGCGATGGCTACTGAAGGTTATGATTTGTTGATGGGGTACGATTACACATCAGATTGTCTGTGCAATGGGTTCTTCTATTTGCGCGCACGCCCCGTTGTTCACACTTGGCTGCACGAAATGGTAAGATGGCTGTACGATCACCCGTATGAGCACGACCAGCGAGCAATTGCAGCTTTTTTGAATTATACGGAGCGTATATCGGCTGCCCCTGAGGATTTCCCAGACGTTCCCCGGTGGCACGTGCTCGACGTAGATAACTCCTTTATCAATTTTGGGTCCTGGGAGGGCCACTACGAGGACCTTGTCCTTGTGCATTTTGTCGATGGCAGCGCGTTCAGCCTTTACGGCCGGCCCACTTGGGACCCGTCCATCCCGAGATCGAAGCTCGAGTGGGTCAAGGACCTCCGAGGCCGTCAAACGCACACCTTCAACGAGCCCTACCAGGCTGTCGATCCTCGGGCCCAGGATCGGTGCTTGTGCACTCCTGGACAAGCATGACAGGTGTGCACACTTGTCTTGGGCCCAGGAGTTGCCTGGCCGGGGCCAGTGGAGTTGTAGGCCACATATTTCCGACGTCACGAGGTTGTCACTACATCGCCCCCAGAGCTCCTGTCTCATCCCTGAAGCTCCGTTTTCGTCCTGGATCGTGTGCTGCCTGTCCTGGGGCCCGAGCACGGCCCAGTGGAGAGACACAAGCCATTTGTTCTTGTATCGAATGTCGTTTGGAGGCAGGTCATTGAAGCGTCAGTTTGGCAGAATTGGCGAGGAAGTCTCGAGCGATGGCTCGACTCCCAGGTACACTGAGAAAACCTGGCGCGAGAGCGTGAGCCCTGAGTGTCGATGGCGCGGCGTCTCAGTAGATTGCAAGAGAGTGCCACGCGAGAGCTCGATTCATGGAGACATTGTATGTCGGGAAGTACCGCGCGGGAGCGCGATTAGGAATAAATCGGTGAAGTATCAAGCTGGAGCCGTTGTTGTTGTAGTTCGGGGGCGAGGGGCCGACTCTGAGCCTCGCTACGTTCGCTCGTAAACAACAGGGTGCGAGCCCTGGAGGGGGCACGTCAAGTGAAAAAACATCATGGGCACCAGGGGGGATCAACAACAGTTCTTATCTAGAAATGAGAAGTCAACAAGAACCCCCAGAGAGTAAGCACCCAGGTATGGTGAGAGGCCGTTCGGCCCCCTCGTTCTGACGATAAAACGCTCCCCTGCCAGGATCGCCACGACGGGCCTGGCGTCGCCAGCGACGAGCCGCTGTCCCCGCTGCAGGCCTTCTACGCCTCCGCCGCAGTCGCGGCCGGGCCCGAGGAGATCTGGCGGGCGGGGCCGGAGCTCCGCGGGCTGCTGGACGCGCAGGTGCGGCCGCGGCCGGCCTCGAGGCAGCGCTGCGGGATCATGCCGGACATCTCTGGAGGTCGGAGAGGGGCGTGGCACAGAGGTTGGGCGCCCGAGTTATCCGGGGTAACTCGGGTCCGGGGTAACTCGGGTTTGGATTCCCGAGAAAGGAACCCGAGTTATCCCTGACCCGAGTTACCCCTGATGATTCGGGGCTCTGAATAGGGGTGTGGTGCCACTCGTGGAAACGGCGATGCTATCGACAAGACAACCTCGCCGCGTCCAGCATTGGCACCACACCCCTTGGCACCATCTTTCCGACCCCCGGAACATCCAGTCCGCCCACCCCGGCTACGGCTGGCTGGTGGACGAGGACCGAGGAACAAAAGGCGGCACAGACATCTTGTGCGGGCCTCAGGGCGGATTTCTTGCAGCGGCGTTGGGCGTCCCCCGCCGGTTGGCGCGCTCCGCGCCGGCGCGCGAGGGGGGCCCGGCGCCGCTCCAAGAAGTCCGCGCGGAGTTCCGAACGTTCATGATTATGCCGGCTTTCCTTCTTCTCGAGGAGGGGCGTTTTTTGGGGTACCCGCGGAGGTAGCCCGTTGGCCGGGGAGTGAAGAGAGGCCCTGGCGTTGCCGGTTGCCACCGCGATGGTTTGCGCTTCACGTGGGCTTGCCGCGTGCTGGTGCCGGACATTCGGTCTGCTCTTCTCCAGGGGAGCGTCTGTCTTCTCCAGCCAGTCTGTGCGTATTCACTCAAGCATTGGCGAAGCGTCCTGGCTCGCCTATAGGTCCACCAAATAATGTTCTAATAACCTTTCGTGGTCTGCACGGTATGTTCTTAGAACACGTTTGGTTGAGACTGTTTTGTTTTGACACATCGGACTCATTTTCTAAGAACATTGTTTTTGTTATTCGGCACATTGGGGTTCTAGGAAGATGTCGTGGCAGCCTATAGGAATGCCAGGACGGTCGGTCCCTGTTAAATTCACCGCATGTGGAGGCGATGTCCCAGTTCCCCAGAAGGCGGTACATGATGGTATTTTTGAGAACCCTTTTGTCCCGAGATTGCCCAACGCGTACACCTACCAGCCCATCCGCAAACAATATTTGGGACGAGTCGCACTGACCATGGAACTGCAGCACCTTGGAGTGGGACAGAAAGGGCGCAGTTGGTACTTTGGAAAATGAAGAGGGAAGAGGAAATTGGGGACGAGCGGATGAGGTGGGAGGGGTGGAGAAGATGGAGGAGGAGAGCAATAGGAGGAGAAGGAGGAGGAAGAGGATAATAAAGAAAAGGAACAGGAGGTGAGACAGAAGGAGACGACGACAGGAGCCAAGGCCTCCGCGGATCGTTTGCTCTGGTAGTTCCTCGGAAGACTTCGGGGGTCATCGTGGAGTCTTCTTGGGGGTATTTGCTTGGAGGGCTTTGGGAACCCTTATGCCCATCTTGGGGCCCAGTCGGAGGCATTGAGGGCCTCCTTGGGGCCACAACGGAGGTCATCGATCAGAGAAGGGGGGCAATCAATCACGATCCCCCAGTCAGAGTCCGAAGAAACCGTCTCGGGCCCTCTTGGGGCTGTCTTGTGCTGGTTTGGGGCCGACTTGGGGCCCTCGTGGGCCCCTCTGTGGGCTCTCCTGGATCATCTTGGAGCCATCTTGAGGCAGCCAAAGCCGATCGGACGCGAAGAGGGCAGACGGCTATGCATCAATGGTTTCACTCTGGTGTTGGACGGGAATTAGCCTACCGGGGGGAGTCCTTGAGAGGCTCCGTGTCAAGCTGATTCATACAGTTGCTGGTGCCTCTCTGGGGCATGGATGAATCTGCCTTGGGCAAGTTGGAGCTCAGTGGTGCCATGTTGGAAGCCACCCTGGGCGATCGTGGGCCTCTCGGACCCTTCAACGGCCCGCGACCGTGCCCGATAGCCCCAAACCCTCCCAGTAACGTGCGTTTTCGGTACAGTCGGGGCGCTGACTGAGGAACCCTTTTCGTTGGGGAGGGGCTCGGTGTTCCTTGATTGTTTCAAAGTTTGCCTCGGGTTTTCCTGAGGTGTTCCATGGGACATCGAGGTTGAACTTATGGGAAAAATGGGCCTCGTTCCTTATTTAGGGTTCCTTAGGTCAACGCCTCGACTGTACCGAGGGCCTGACGCCGATCTATCGGCGATGAATCGCGACTTCCAGGCCGACGTTCCCCCCCCCATGCCAGTCCCCCCTTTCAATCGCCCTTCGTCTCAGGAGGCGGCGGGGCGTCTCAGAAGCCCTGCGGCCTTTGGGGAATCCGCCCTTTGTCTTCGGAGGACGAAAAGGTACCCGTACTGCAAGCGTTGCCTCGTTTACACCGTTTTGGGCCTTCTGGGAGGACTTCGTCGCCACGGCTGGCCATACATCACCCCGGAAGAGATCCGTGGAGCATTGGTATCGGTACCTTATGGTTTCCCCAGCGTTTGTTTTCGGAGAAAGCTTGGAACATTTGTCTGAAGGCCCAAGGTTGACGGAGCGTCTGAAAAGGCCCGCCCAATTTGTGCCCCCCTTGAGATCGTTGCCCATTCGGGGAAGCGCTTGTCGGGGCCTCGGCGTCCTGGGACGTTTGGAAACTTGCGGTGGATTCGCTTCTGGAGGGAACTTCCCGAGACGTCAGGATTACTTAGATGTGTCTTGGGATGCCCATCGACCAAGGCCCTGAGGCGGAGGCAATCGCGGCGACAAGGGCCCCCCACGAGGCTAGAGCAGAGCGAAACACACAACTGTCTTCCTTCTTCGCTCCGCCTCGTTTCCCCGAAGGGGACGTGTCCCGCTTCCTTGGATAATGACCCGGGGATCTCCCGATTCTCCTCATATTCGCCCTCCTCGTCTTCCCCCTTCTTCATTTTTTGTTGTGTTTGTTCCCCTCTTTCCACTCATCCCCCTCTTCGTTATCATCCACTTCATCTGTGGACGCAACGTTGTTCGCGCGAGTTCTCGGCATTTCGTTTCTTAGAGGAGGAGTGTTGCCTGACGCGTTCGCGTTTGCTCGCGTTTGGGACATTTCTTGGCCCAGGTTGGTCGCATTACACATTCAGCTCTCTGACACTAACTTTGAAGTTTGTCCTCAGCGCCGCCCGTGTTGGTGCACCCGAAAACAAGCAAAGCCAACGGAACATGGTTTGGAGCATGCTCGCGCACGCATCGCATGCTCGCAATTTTCTCACGCAGCCTTGTGTTTAACCGAAGCATATTGCTCAAGTGTGTCGCTGGGATGTCGGCAGATCCGAACGCCAAGGAGCTGAATGTCAAGGCTGATGATAATGATTTGACGTGCCCGTTCTCAAGCATATTCTTGCCACAGCGGCGCTGCAACGACATTGCGTATCAGTACGCGCCGTCGTGCTCTCATGGTAACAGGGGGAAAATTGTCACCTGCAAGCAAGCCGGAAACGGACTGCAAGATGAGTTCGAATATCATGGATTGAATTAGCCATGTTTCGTCTGTGCCGTATAGTTAGCCAGGGTTTAGCAAACCCACCCTAGCATCTTTAGATTCACTACCTCGAGCACAGTCTCCGTTGTCGATGGAAGAGCGTTGTGGAGGAATCGCGGAACAGCATGGGGGCACCCAAGTGGAAGTAAAGGGCATAGGGAACGTTGGACGGGAAGGAGGGAGCACGGATGGACACAATGGAGGAATAGAAAGTGCAGGGCGAAACCAGTATAAAGGACAACGGGACGATGTTGACAGACGGATTGCGAAGGATTAGAGGGAAACGTCGGAGGAAGAGGAGGGAGAAGGGCAAATGATGAGGGAACGGAGCAGAATGCGACCATGCGTTGCAGCGCATTGCAATTGATCCGCACCATTGTGTGATTTTTTCCTTATATCTAAGACGCTTACGGCGAATCACCGCAGCCCCCTGCCTTTGAAAAACAACCGTGCGGCCAAACCTTGGGCCTCTTGGAGGCCTCTTGGGTTGTCTTGGGTCGATCTTCCGGGCTTGTGGAACAGTCCTCGATTGTCGGAAGCCCGAAAAAGCGATGACGCCGCCAAATTCAGTTAAAAACAACGGATGATCAAGGCTTGATGGATGTCCTCTTGGATCCCTCTTGCGCGTCTGGGGCACCTCTTGGGTCCCTCTTGGTTTTCGGAGGCCGTCTTGTGCCCGCCCTTGGCAGTCGTGGGTACCTCTTAGGGCGCTGTAGGGCTGTCGTGGTGGTCACTGTGGCAGTCTCGGCGCCATCTTAAGGGCCGCTTGGGCTGTCTTTGTGCCCTCTTGGATCGTTTAACGGGCCTCTCAGGGGCCTCTTGGGAAGATCTTGAGAGTTCGTGGGCCCGCCTTGGAGCGTCGGAAGCCCGAAAACGGGTGTATGCTAAAATGATGGAAACACACACAGAAAGTCGTTGATTCAAGCCTGCTCGAGGAGTTGTTTTGGACCGTCTGAGGGGCCTCTTGAGACGCCTGGAGGACATTTTGGGCCGTCTTGAAGCCGTCTTGGAAGCCATCTTGGCCGTCTTGGAGGCATCTCAGCGGCCATCTTGGCCGTCTTGGGACATTTGTTTTTCCTCGACAATGAGGTCTTTCTGGGTGGCCAGCGGTTTCGGCCGAGGAAGCCTTGGGCATTTGTTTCACCAGCACCACAAACTATGGAACATCTGGCACCCTTGTGGCAAGCACAGGGGGGTGACTGACGACGGGAAGCGCGCTTCGCTTGCGATCCATTAGTCTGAAAGGTTTAAGCTAGGGGCGGTGTGAGCGGGATGGCAGCCGCATTCCCAGATGACGGAAAGCGCGCTTCTGGGGGAAGTGTGAGGAGGATGGCATTTTGAGCGATCTTCGGGCAATGTTTGGGGCCGGCTTGGTCTGTTGGGAGCCAGTTTTGGAGCACATGCTAAAATCATTCACAACAAAAGAAGACGAAGAAAAACACGGGGCCTCCAGCTGGTCCTCCAGGAACGCCCGACGAGACCAACATCCTTGAGTGCCCTAAGGTTCTGAATGAATTTGAATGTTTGGAGTCTGTGATGCATTCTTGGGCTGTCGGAAGGCCGTTTCGAAGCAAATGCCAATTTAGATCAACATCCTAAAGGCATTCAGCGAGTGTGGCATCTTCGAGCCTTCCTGAAGGACCTCTCGGTGGCCTCGCGGGCCGTCTTATGGGCCTCTTGGGCGCGTCTTGGGTCGTCTTGGGCTCTTTGGACCATCGTGGCGGTCTTGGGGGCATCGCGGGACCGTCTTGGAGGCCATTCTCGGGTTATGTTGGGTTCTCGTGGGGCCGTGTCGGCACTCTTGGGGACCAGCTGTGGCATGTCAGCTGCATCGTGTAAACATTGTGGTGTGAGCTACGGGGCAGGCCAGCCACAACTGGGGGAGCCGTGGTCCCTACCCCCCTGGGGGGGACCCATCGATCTCGACGCCCCTCTCGAAAGATCGTCGATGCGATGGGTTCCCCCAGGGGGGTAAGGACCACAGCTCCCCCAGTTGTGCACCTGGTCGGCGGGGGCGGCCACGCGGCGCATCTTCGGCGGAGCCACCCTGCGCACGCTTGCGCGAGGCAGCACGGGGCGGCAGCGTGGGTGCAGCGTCGGCGGACCCGCGCAGCGCAACGGGGCGACCGCGCGCGCCCACGAGGCGGCATAGGGGCGGTAACGTGGACCTGTGTTGGCCACGAACAAAGTTCCGGACGTTCCGGACATGCTCCGGACAAAA